TGTTTTCTCTCCCCGTGCCCCTCCGGTGCCGTGTTGTGGGGGGGGGGGGTGTCACACAGCAGCCCCATTCCTGCCTTTGCTCCTGGCTGATGTCTGAGGCCTCGTGTGCTGCTGCTAACCGTTGACTGCTCTCTTGCAGGTTTTCTGGACGGAAACACAGACAGCAAAGGTAAATGCCTGCCTGTGCCCACCTCACCTGACGGTCCCCGGCTTGGCACTGAGCCATGGGAGCCCATGGCCAGCCCAAATCCGTTCCCTCTTGCTGTCTGCAAAGGGCAGTTGGATTGGGATGGGGCAGATGCCAAAGGGTGGGATGCAGGGGGCAGCGCCCAGTTCCCTGCAGGACCAGGGCCGTAGGGGTCCCCACTGCCCAACAGCACAGAGTGGACAGATCCCTCTGGGGCAGGAGGGTCCGGGATGCTCCCCTCCACGCGCAGCCCCGGTCTGGTGCCCCCAGGTCGGCTGTGCTGGCCGCGGTTACTGCCCCAGGATGGACAGGGGGCAGGGCTCGTGTGCCTGCGTGGCTCTCCCTGCACCACGCTGATCCTCTCCTCCCCCCTCCCCAGTGTTTCTTTTCCAAGTGCCTCCCATCGAAGAGAACTTTGACGACAACAAGCATTCACTGAAGCCCTGGGACACCAAGAAGGTGAGCGCTAAGCCGCAGCGAGCCCTGCTCTGCATGCCAGGCAGTGTGGGGAGCGGCCGCGTGGGAGCAGGAGACGGACGGGCTGCGGTAGGGTCTCCTGGGTGGGTGCGTGCTGCTCTCCACCACCTGGGGACCGCTGGGAGAGGCAGGGCAGGAAGGCCCTTGAGGAAGTCACCAACACATCCCCCTGCTCCACGGCCTGCTCGTGCTGAGGCTGCCGGCTTCCTGCCTGTGGAGCATTGCAACACCAGGGCACTCGATCTCCTTCCTGCCCTCAAACCACTGCTGGTCTAGGGGGGAGTGGAGATAAACATCCTGGCCTCAGTTCACTCTTTCTCTTTGATTTCCCAGCTCTCGTCATCCTCAGCCCGTCCACGGTCCTGCGAAGTCCCTGGGATCCAGTAAGTCCTGGGCTGGGCTTGGTGGTGTGGGCTCTGCTCTTGGGGGGTAGCTGATGAGCCTGAGCCTGCAGATGGTTGCAGAAGTGGGCTGGAACCCAGGGGACCAAGCTGCTGGCTGCCTGCTCTGGGGGATGCTGGAGAAGGCAGTGGTGCTCCCACACTGAGCGGTTTGTCTCTCTCTTTCTTCTTGCATATTTCCATCCCCAGATCAGCCTGCCAACGTCCCCCTGATCCCCTCGGCCCTGAACACGGGCGGCTCCCTTCCTGACCTCACCAACTTGCACTTCCCCTCCCCGCTGCCCACTCCCCTCGACCCGGATGAGACTGCCTACCCCAGCCTGAGCGGGGGGAACAGCACCAGCAACCTGGCGAACACCATGACGCACCTGGGCATCAGCAGCAGCATGGGACTGGGGACAGGCTACGACTCGCCAGGTGAGGGCTGCCCGCTGGCCCTGTCCTCCCAGGGCAGCCCTGTCCTGAGGAAGGCCCCGTCCCACGGCCGGCGGGCAGGGAGATGCCAGAGCCGGAGTCCCGACACGGGGAGGCCCAGGGCTGAGCGCTTCCTGGCCTGGGTGGCTGGGACCAACCGCTGAGACGCACGGGGCTCCCCGGGAGGGTGTGGGATCAGAGCCCCGGGAGGAGCGAAGCTCCGGCCGGGAGCCCGCAGCCCGCTCCGCTCCCGCGCCAGCGCTCTCTGCTTGCCGAGGATGCAGTGCCTGCGGTGCCTCGCTGGGCCGAGCCGGGAGCCATCCTGCGCCAAAGCCGGTTCATTCCTGGGGTGTGTGTGTTTCTGTTGCTGTCTCCATCGTTCTGGTCTCCTCCGTCACCTTCCATCCCATCCAGGGCAGACGGGGAGCCCCAGCCTGGCCCAGCCCGGGGAGGACAAAGCCTGGGGCGCGTGCTGTTTCCGTGGGTAACGGTGGTGTCTCTTCTTTTTTGTCCCCACAGGACTTACCTCACCTATGCAGAGCTCCCTGAGTAACCCGTCCTTGCAGTCCTCGCTTAGCAACCCCAACCTGCAGGCCTCCCTGCGAAGCCCCTCGCTCCAGTCCTCCCTTAGCAACCCCTCGCTGCAGTCCTCGCAAAGCAGCTCCTCCATCCCCTCGTCGCTCTCCAACCAGTCCCTGCCCTCCTCGCTCTCCTCCTCGCTCAGCAACCCGTCCCTCCCCACGTCCCCCCGCAGCCAG